TTTTTGCAGGGAATAAACGATTGTGTGTCCCTAATAGCGAGTCTTTGTGTAGTTTATTTCTAGGTGATTGTCATGATGCCACCGGCCATTTTGGGTACAAAAAGACCGCAGCTAATCTGCTGCAGCGGTTTTGGTGGCCCACGATGATGCGAGATGCTCAACTGTACGTGGAGACTTGTCAAGTCTGTCAGAGAGACAAGCCACGTACACAGGCTCCTCTTGGGCTCTTGAAGCCGCTTCCGATTCCGGAAAGGCCTGGTGAGAGCCTGTCCATGGATTTCATGGATACTCTGATCACCAGCAAGAGTGGGATGAGACACATCTTCGTTATCGTGGATAGATTTAGCAAGTATGCTAGATTAGTAGCAATGTCGGAAACAGCAAGAACGGAGTATGTAATCAGAATGTTCAAAGAGAACTGGGTAAGGAATTTTGGTTTACTGAAGTCCATTATCAGTGATAGGGATGTCCGGTTCACAAGCGAATTGTGGAAGGCCGCTGCTGCAGAGCAGGGAACTCAGTTGCAAATGACTTCTGGGAATCACCCAGAGGCCAACGGCCATGCCGAGCAACTGAATCGTGCCGTACAACATCTGTTGAGGCATTACATCAAGCCCAACCAGGTGGACTGGGATGAGAAACTTGCTCTCATCGTCAGCCTGTACAACAATGCTGTACACAGCGCCACTAGGGTGAGCCCGAACAGTTTGCTATTGACTTTCAAGCCTAGACTACCCTTAGACTTTCTCCTTCCTAAGAATCAGTCAACTGCTGCACCGGGTACTTCAAAGTTCGCCTACCGATATGAACAGAAGATGCAGCAGGCGATAGAACAAATGCAGAAGGCACGGGCAGCAATGATAGAGTCTGAGAATAGACACCGCCGACCTTCTACGTTTCAGGTTGGGGACAAAGTTTGGGTAAGGTCCTCAGAACTGGGACAGGAGTACGGGATTTCCCGTAAACTCATGCCACAGTACTTTGGGCCATGGGAAGTCTTAGATATCGTCGGGACTGATCCCGATGGACCATCCTATGTCATCTGGATCCCTGGTCATCTCCGTACTTACCCCATCTTTCATGCCTCCAAGCTGGCACCTTTCAAAGAAACTGATCAGTTTCCATCTCGCAGCTCAATGCTGCCCCCAACCATGGACGGAGAGGTGCCGGTATCAAGACCAACAGGCAGGGGACGTCCTCCGAAAGCGAAGCTGCAATATCGCGTTCGGTTCCGGCATCACACTGATCCGAAGGAGGACCGTTGGTTCACCAGGGAGGAACTCATGCAGACCGCTCCACAAGTTGTAGCCCACTACGAGAGATCTCTGCAGAAGGGAAAGCGCCCTATGGTTGAAGATTGAGCTTCTCAGAGGACTGTTGAAGCTAAGGAGGAGGGAATGCGAGGCCACTGCCTCTATGAGCCCATTCAGCCCCCATTTTGGAGCCAGTCGGCCGCCCTAAGTGAAGGCAGGCCACTGCGCAACTAAGGAAATAAAGGCAGCTGCGCAGCGCCAGTTGGTTGAGAGAACCCAGGCCCTGGGCCGCCTGTGTAAATGTATGGAAAGCAGGCCCTGGGCTGGATACGAGTACTGGGTCGAACACAGGCCAAAGGCAGTTGGGCGCATGCAACCAACTCAGGCCCAAGGCCTGTCCACAAACGTGCTGGGCCTCAGGCTACCGGGGCCTACTGGAAGCTTCCTAGGACTGGACGCAGGCAGGCCACTTCGATATAGCAAAGGGCCTGCCTCCTCATTCGGTATTCAGGTGCTGGCTGCATGCTGCGCAAGCGCTGCTGCGCGATTTTGCTGGCTGGCGCCTACGCTCTCACGGGCGAGCAGGGAAGGAGCACGCAGCCATAGCCGAGCTGCGCTGCTGTAAGCTGGGTGAGGCGCAGGGTGGTCCTTGGGTGCTAGTGGCATTTGTGTGTTGGGGAACGAGGTTGTGAGTGTGGCGAGAGACATACCTGGTTCTGGAAGCGTGCGACATTGGTCGCTGTATGCTCGTACTTTGGGAAAGCTGTTGTCGTCAACTTCGGCATTGTAGTATAAGCTAGATAGGATCTGCCACATGTAGTCTGGGCGCCAAGCGCCAGATAGGATATCAACTCTGGTTCTTCGTTGATGATGATGGGACTATTTCAGC